GAGCTGGAGGAAGTGTCTGGAGAGAGGGAAGTCTGGGCATCTTTGCTTAGACTGCTGCCCCCGCGACCCGGTCCCGGATAAGCGGAGGAAAATGGATGGATGGATGGATGGATATTGACCCACAGCTGCTGCAGCACAGCTCATGTTGCACATACCACATGCTATACAGGAACTTTGATACTCAGAGCTGTGTTTCTCAGAAGTCACTGCCTATGTGCCTGGTGGTTTTTCACTGGCATCAAACTAATGACAATGTTTAACAGGTTACATTTAATCCGCTACAGCTGATGTTAAAGCAGATGTGAATGCTGAACTGTGAACTGTGACAGAGGGAAATATTTGTCTTAATAAGTCAAGTGGGCATTATGATAAAACAAAACAATTAATATAAACTGGATTCTCATAATTAGCTCAAATAAAACCAACACATAGGCAGAGGTGCAACTTGAAAATTTGTATTTATTCAAACTGTGTTATATTATAATAAATAGAGTTCAGATACTGAAGCTTTCCAAGTTTATAAAATAGCTAGTATATGCCACTTATGTGTATAGCAGGCTCACATGTAAAAAAAAACGATTAAAGAATGATAAACTTACATTACACTGTGCTGTTGAATTGTGGCAAACATTTACATTTTAAAACAATACAAATAGATATACAAAACCTGAGTGCAGAGGAGCCTGTTCCTGGGATTTTAGTGGCACTAGGTATTCCTACACTGGAATAATTTCAACAGCTGCCTTTTTATAAAATACACAAATGAACATCATATCTGCACAACCCTTTCACAGTAGCTCAGTAAGAGCTGGCAATATTAGAAACAGTATCTCAATGTACCAGTCTGGGGCTTGGCTAATACTATTTAATAAATTATGGTGCACTGCGTTACTCATACTTAGAGTGATGTGTAATGTGCCCCTTAGTATACAGAACATATACTAATATATAATATATACAGAAACACTCTTGGAATGAAGCATGTTCAGGACACACAGAAGACTGCCGATATTGCTGTGTGTAGTTAACAGTGCAGACGATCACAGTTCATAATCAGGTTTGAGAAGGGATTACCAGATTCAGAAAGAAATCAGCTGAGATACTGCATCAAGTTCCAAGATGAGATGTAACATGGTATGCTGAACTATAATGGAGAACACTGGCTTTGTCCGGGCTTCTAGGCAAATAAGTGCTTATGGGTCGCATCACTCCTAGCCAGAGTGATGAGCCTTCACTCTTCATCCTTCATTGATTTGTCCTTCTTCAAATGTTCAGCCTTTAGAAATGAGGCTACAGGTATGGAGGGCTTTGGCCTTTGTTGTATGAAAGGTCAAAGGTCCAATCTGATATGACCAACTCTGTGCAGCAGGGTCACAGCTCCAGTGATAAGTCCACCTACTAGTGCCTGCCGCTGCCAAGAGGCTCACAGCCACGTAACTGATCATCTGGGGAGAGGAGGTCATCGTTCAATAAACTGGAGGTTTATGACTTTCTCAGGAACTAGAAGCGTCCGTGTCATGGGCTTCACAGAAACCCCTTTTGGGTCTGGTTTCACGTTGAACTCTATTAGGATCTAATGAGAGCATAAACAGGGAAGAAGGATTTTTATTACAGGGCAATTAAAATGTAAAAAAAAATCAAGTTCTCATGTGCAAAGTGCTGGGTAGTGACTCTTAACCAAAGCCCCTTCTTTTCACATTCCAAGAAAATGCACAGCAAGAGGGTTTCTCAGAAATACTGCACTCTCTGACACGCAAATTGTAAACAATCTAGTTTGCTTGTTAAATAACTCGAATAATCTGTGTACATGCAGCACATAACAAAATGTGTTATTTACTTTATATTTGTTTTTATGAAAGCTGCCACTGTGATGATTCCATTTCAGTTACTGCTGAATAAACACAGTGAAGCAGTGTAATAAAAATGTAAGTATAACTGAGGATTTGCATCTTTTTTCCAACACTGATGAACATTATTCGTCCACAAATAAGGTGTTCTCTACTTGTGTATCATCATCCTTTGTCCACTAAAATGATTGGCTGAGCCATAAACCAGATTTGATTTTAAAGCTACTTAGTAATCTCAACAAGCGAAGAAAAAAGTCTTTCTGGTCAAATTAAAAACTACTGTATACTGTATATATTACTAAGTACTTCATCTGATCAAGACCAGTCATCTCACCCTGGCAAGAGCGAGGTAGAGCTCCAGCTCAGCTATGCGTCGACCTATACAGCTGCGTTTTCCCACCCCAAAGGGTACAGAGGCGTACGGGTGGTGAGTCTGGTCCTTGTTCAACCATCGATGAGGCTGGAAGTCATCTGGATTTGGAAACACAGCTGGATCCCGTGATGTTGCAAAGTGGCACAGCGTAATCAGAGTCTGGGTGAAAGGATTTTACAGTCAGATATGTGCTGCATTACAAATGTGAAACATAAATATAACATTCATATTCAGCCCAGTACAGACTGAACTACCTCCTAGCTATCACAAGGTACTGTATGACTACACGTATTCCCTGAAAACACTTACATTCTTAGGGATGAGGTAGCCTCCAACCTGGATATCTCTGTCAGTAATGACCCTTGCATTAGCAGGAATAACAGGGTATAACCTGCAAAAGAAAAGCTCGATAACATAAGCACAAGTGAACTTACAAGCTGAGAAGTAGATGTCTTTAGCAAACTAGGCTGAACCATCTGATTGATACCTGAGTACTTCTTTAACTGTGGCCTTCAGGAGAGGCATGCGAGCCACGTCTGCTGCCTCTGGTATCCTTCGACCTTCCAGTACACTTAACACCTCGTCCCGGAGCGAGGCCTGCACCTCAGGGTGATGTGACAGCTCATACAATGACCAAGACAATGTGCTGGAGATCTGAAAACAGGTGTGGTATAACAGGGTTAAAAAACTATTAAACTGACAACAGAGTCCAGCAAAGAAGAAGACAGAGATTCTTACTGTGTCGACTCCTGCAAGAAGAAGCTCTGTGACGTTGCTGTAGACAGTCTTCATGGGCAACCCTGTCTGGGACAGGAAGTAGGTCAGATAACGGCCCTCCACCCTCTCTCCACGGGCCATCTTCTCTGCCTCAGCCTTCAGACGCTGGTCAATGTGACCTTTTGCTACAGACACAGGTGGTATAGCCATTATCATCTTAGTACCTTTGTATCATTAGCATCTAAAACCACAAATTTATTGCCCTCTGATTATGTTCTAGACATGCTCACACAATGGAGACATCTGCTCTCTAGATTTCTGGGAAACGAATGCAACTATTATTATATTAACTATTGATTCTAACCATAATTTAACCATCATGACTGATGTTCCAGATCTGACTCCATGTCAGTTTCAATGCAGACGATCTTGTAGCATGTAAGGGGTAAGGACTTGAATCTTCCTGACCCAGTTTGGTCCAGTATGATTATATTAAACATGTTTACCTCTCAGATCAGGACAAGTCTTAATGTAGTGTAAGAGTGAGTGGGATGACAACCCAGAGCTGAGTGGAAACCAGTAATAGCCAATGAGAACGAATGTAATTTAATTTTTATTTTGTGTAAAATATATAAGACATTCTATTAATAGTGATGGAGGTTTCTGCCTGAAACTGAACTGCCTTGGGAGAGGTTTGCGCACTTAAATGTTGAGGATAAATAACTTACCAAAGTCAAACATGTAGTCCCAGCAGCGACAGAACACGTTCCAGGGTTTAGGGAACAGCTGGTGCAACCAACTTGGCATGGCCATGGTGAGAAGTGTCATCACAAACATGGTGTTTATGGATCGGATGAAACGCTCTGTCTCTTCAGGAACAACCAGATTCAGACAACCAATTCTGGATTCAAATAACACAGAAGAAATGCCTGTGAAAAAGCAAAACAAAACAAGGAGAGTCAATGATAAAGCGAGGACAAGACGACATGAAGGGTTGAGGTACTGAAAGCTGTGGATGCACAAAGACATAATGAGGTAATAGATGTATCCACAAGTTGTCATCCTCTCCATCACATCTATTATAACATCTACTGTTATGCTATATAACAGACAATTAGCCAGTCGCTCTCCTAAGTAAACAAGTAGTTTTTTCATCATGAGTTAGTGATGCACTGATGGAAATGGCTGACTTTCAGTGTGCTCATCCTTGAACGGTGGCCAATCACTCTGAAAATCCAGATTCTGTGCCGATCAGATTTAGAAGCATAACAGTTCAAGTTGTGCATGCGGTGGCACAGTCCGAAAGTGTGTGCAGCACGTAGCATCTCGTGTCCGCTTTGAGCAAGACTTGCGCTCCTGTACCCAATGAGGGAATTACTGGCTACACATGAAATACATGTATATGCAGAGTGTATCCAACCCGTGGTAAAACACAGCAAATAAAAACTACACACACTTCAAAAAGAACTGTGTGCTCAGTAGGACTGATGTAACAGACATTCTTCTGTTTCTACTACCTGTTGCACCTGTTTACAGGTCAGACAAATCGGAATCGGACAAGAAAATTTCAATCAGTGCATCTCTATCACAAGTCCAGTAAAATGGTATCAGTATCCTCAGCCCCATGTCACAGTCTGGTTCTCAGTCCAGCTTCCTTTCAACAATATAATCATTTTGACAGTGGTAGAGGAAATGTTTGAGAGGTGTGCATTTGACTGCATATTCATTGAAATAGAAGTGTGTTTAGTCTGGGCTGGTGCTAGGGCTTAAAGGATAAGGCCGGCCATTTTCTATATTAATAGTATATATAGCAGTCTCCATACAGAGACTACAAGTGACAATGAATTGGCTCTGCTCATGGTTAATGTCTATCACCTGTTTAGTCCTGGATCAGCTTGTGACAGACCTCCACTATTGTTCAAAAACAATTAAAAACACATCAGTGAAACATGGCGCTCTACTGGGTGACATACGTCTTCATTACCAAACGCCAGACCTGAGCATGACTAGCTACCACAACAAAGCTGAGAGCTCACACAAAATCTTGAGCATGTGCAGTTGACTGTGACTCGTACTACTAACTTGTTATTACTTGTATTTCTATAGTGCAGTATTACCACTTTTACTTAAAAAAATACATCTGAATACTTTTTCCTCCATTGGAAAGGAGAGATAAAAGTTACTCGGTGCTACTCTAGGATGGAAATGTTGAAATTATTACAGCATGTCAGGCTTTGAAAAACATATATGTTTAAAATGTCAGTGATAATAATATTGCTTCCTGCGTTTGGCTGGGCCTAATAACCAATATTCACATGGTGTGGTACATCCTGTAGTGCCACTCCTCAGATTACATGAAACCTTACCCTCGAGGCCGAAGCGATAGAACTCTCTGGCGATGTCAGTGACGAGGCCATGAGGATGTCTGCTGAGGCGAAGTTTGGCAATGAGGTCACTGACCACACTGTTCAGGGTTTTATCATAAGCTTCCACCGCCTTTGGCCGCAGCATGTGCTTCCCCAGGAGACTTCTCACTGCCTGCCACTCCTCCCCCTCACTAGGAACACACAAAGTAAAAGATTGTTACACCAGGCATACAGCAAAGGTAAACTCCACACTTAGTGAAGCCTTGGATTGTAATTAAAGCGCATACTTTACAGTTGTGTTTTTGATCAAAATAGTTTCATAAAAAGTGACTAAAGCTGAGAAGAGGATGGTCAGTCATCTGAGTGGCTTATCTTTGATTTGAATTTGAAAGGTATGACTTTGTTTTATGATCACTGTTATTTATTTACATCAGTCTGATTTGACACAGAAAGAGAGGAGAGGACAAAGACTGGGGAAACCCTGAAGGTAAAGACATTAGACTTGCTTTGAGTCCAAATCCATGCATGTGATTATGCAACACTCACGATGTCAGAAGTCCATAGTGATGTCCTCTGAGCTTCCTGTAGTCCTTCCAAGAGGAGAGGTTAGAACGCATGGGGTGCTGGCCCTCCTGCCTCAGGACCTGCTCGATGAGTGCTGGATCAGCCACATGGACTGTCAGGATGGGGCCGAAGCTCGCCTTCCACATGGAGCCGTACCTCTGCACTCCTGCCAGCTGGGACATGAGAATGAGGTTTGACCTTTTAAAAGCCATGCAGGTTATGAGATGACTGGCATCAGATTTGAATGCACTCTCAGTTTGAAGCCCAGTGCAGAAACGAAAATGTCCTTTCTAAATGATTAGAGTATTTTCATTCATCATAATGTACATAATAGACAGACAGATCATTTTCTTTATTTATTATCAGGCATGTTAAAATATCAACAGGTGGTGGCTTTATGACTTTACCCTAGGTTTAACAATCTTGGTATACTGTACGATGCAGGCCACCAGTAACAGAAATTCTTGGATATATTTTATCCCCCCCAACTCAAAATGACTTTCCTTATTGTTACTTCACTTGGATATTTGCTCTTCGATGTGCAGAAAATTGTAGGCTACCGTATGTGCAGATTGTGACAGCAGGAGGCTGTTTTCACATTCAAGACCAGGGAAAGTTTTTCTGTGTTCATCTAAAATCTGAGTTTGAGAGGTGTGACTTCACAGTTTGGAAACTGGGCATGGTGCAGTACCCAGCTTTCTAAAGTGAGAAAGCTTCAGTCCACGTACACTACAAATGAACTTCTTAATGTATGAGACATACTGACTGCAGAAAATGAAACTATAAGCAACTTCAGTTTTTAAAATATTCAGATTAAAAAGTGGAGCTTGCCTGTGACCACTTCTTATTTCCACCCCATCACAAACCACCTATATGCACAGAATGTTTTCTGAAATGCAGAAAACCTCATTCAACCCCCTGTACCTCTGTGCAGGATGCTTTTCCCCCATTAGTTCACTGTGGCTGCAGGAGCTTACTTACTTGCAACTCATGCAGTCGTGACAGACCGCGCCTGGCGAATAAGTCCCAGGCGAAGCTGGCGACCGACGGACCGGGCATGTCATCCAAAGTCCTCACTGCCTGCTGCTTGGTCGCCTCCGGACTGGCTGATATGCCCTCAGTCCACCTCTCCATCCATTTGACAATGGGGAAGGCGCTCCGGCTGGACACTCGAAGAGCTTGTTGCTGCATCCTTCTCACAGAGATCATGAAGTAGTGACCAGACGTTTCTCGTTTGGTTGTCACTCCTCATCTTGTCCTCCCTGGATGGAGGCTCTATTTATAAGGCGCGACCTGTTCCTCGAACCGCGGAGATAAAGTTGTAAATTTTCTTAATCTGGCCAATCATGGGTGTAAATGCCGCCCAGGCCCCACCCCGCCTGGATGTGACTGAGAAGGCGTGAACTGAGAGGAAGGTGTGTCCAATCAGAGGACTGAGCTCAAACCATCCCAGGAACAGTACACGTGGAGGTTCTGGATAAATAAATAACCATCCCTCCCTTTTTGGGAAATAAATTAGCCTATGTGATAGACGTTAGTGTCTTTAAAGCAGACATAGTTAGAAAGAACCCCGCTTCTGGTTATAATGTCCTTTCTGCTTAAATGACCACTTACCGCCAAGGTCAACATTACTATAGATCCTATTTATCTAAAAGGGAATAGCAGATCTGTTTGACTGAGATAAGAGGCCAGGAGGTTAGAGTCACCCTAAAAATACAAAACCAAACAGAATCAGCTGATTCAGGAATCAAAGTGCCACAAATTGCAATTTGGCTATACAGTAACAAACATATTCTTAAACTCAGAAAGGTTTGTAGAAGGCCTACATTAGTGAAGACACTGGAACTTCATTTAAGCGATGGTCTGTGTCTTATCCAGACCTGGCTGTGCTTTGTTTACCTAGCTATAACCAATTATTTTGCTGACTTGGTGTGTTTCCTAGTGAGACAGAAAATCCTGACCTGCTTTTATTTGAAATGGAAGTTGTCCAAAGTACTCTATCTATGGACTGTGAAGTAACAACCCCCAGGCTGTACTCTGAATTTCTTTGGACATATATACTCCTAACTAGAAATCCTAGCTTGCCCAGTTTCTGAGAAACAAATAGGATTGATTGGCAATGTAAGCTTCAGAATAATGAGG